ATGAGAGAGATAAATAATGATAGATAGATGATAGATAGATAGATAGATAGATAGATAGATAGATAGATAGATATAGTTGGATTAGATAAAGATATAGACAGAGAGAGACAGAGAGAGAGAGAGAGAGAGAGAGAGAGAGAGAGAGAGAGAGGAGAGAGAGAGAGAAATAATGATAGATACCAAAGATGGATGGATAGATAGGATAGATGGGTGGGTGGATGGATGGATGGATGGATGGATAGATAGATAGATAGATAGAGCACTTATATACCACTTCACAGTGTTTTACAGCCCTCTCTAAGCGATTTACAGAGTCAGCCTATTGCCCCCAACTATCTGAGTCCTCATTTTACTGTCCTTGGAAGGATGGAAGGCTGAGTCAACCGTGATCTGGTGAGACTCAAACTGCTGGCAGTCAGCAGAATTAGCCTGCAACTCCGCATTCTAATCACTTTGCCACCACAGCTGTAGCATTATATGTGTGGGAAACAGCTGTATTCTCTCTCATATATATAAAAGTCATTCTACTCTAAGGAGAAGCTACTCTTAAAGAGAAATTTCCAGACAGTGAGAACAATTAATCAGCCGAACAGCTGGCCTGCGGTATGTCCTCCAGCCAAAACAGGCTGCGTATCCATCTCCCCTCTTGCGGCTCATTTTTGGCCGGCAGAATGCTGCAAGAAACCAGAGAGGGCAAAAGCAGTCTGCGCAGGGACCTCGAGGGCTCCACACGGCCCGTTTTTGGCCAGCAGAGTACTGCTAGAGTCTGGGGAGGGCGAAATCAAGGTGCAGGGTGGGCCGCATGGCTGGCAGGACCACCGTAGTTCTCGACTTACAACCATTCACTCGGTGATCATTCAAACTTACAGTGGCCCCAAAATAATCTATGACTCAACGGGGGAAGCCAGATTCGCTTAGTGGCCTCCCGATTCAACAATTGCAGTGATTTGGTAAACAACCGTGGCAGAATGAGGTGCAGCTTATCACCCGCTTGGCTTAATGGCAGAAATTCTGGGCCCCGTTGCTGCCGTAACCCGCGGACTACCTCTATGCTCCCCTCTGCCCATCCTTAATGTTGGGGGGGGGAGGGGTGGAAATATTTTGGAACTGAGGGGGCTTCAATGTCAACTCCGCGTCTCCCGATGTAGGACTTCACTCCAGAGAAAAAGACGCCTGCCAGGGCTCCGCGAAGGGCACCTGCTGGAGGGTGGAAGAAAAAGGTAAGAGGATTTTTCAAATCTCTTCCTTGGAAAAATTGATCGATTTTATCGCTGGGTCGATTTAGAATCGGTGGCTTTATAACCGATACGAGAAACAAAACTGTAGGGCGAGTGGCAGAAACGGGTCGGAGTCAAGAGAGGCATTAGCCTCGTATCCCTACGTAGCTGCAAGCGAATTAAATCCAAACCTCCCTTAAATTCCCTTGACCCAAATCTAATTCCAGGCAGGGGCTGATAGTGAGCTGAGAAGATTCCTATGCGTAGGCATTTTACCAATAAATCAATTTAATTGGACTTGTGGGTTTGAACATTCACACCTGGCAACACCCGTCCGGCTGCTCCTGCACCTGAACCTTCATACATGGCAATACCTGTCTTGCCTCTTGTGGCCCGCCAGCAGAGCTGGCAGCAGTGTCGGACAATGAGGAGGTTGGGGAGGAGCATGGGCCAGTCCTGGAGGCTGGGGAAGACTCTGCATCAGAGGCAGAGACGGGGCTGGGGCCATCTGGGAGTGATCAGGTGCCTACGGAGCTAGACAGCAGTGAGGCGGAGGAACAGCTGGGGCCTCTTCCAGATGCACGTATGCGCAGAGCTGTTAGGAGTGGAGAACAACAGAGGACAAGGACTCGGCTCGGGAAGCAAGGCACACGTAGACGCTGAATGGGTCCTCCCTGGCTGGGCAATAAATAGAAGGAATGGGGAGTGGTGGTCATAGGAGACAACAGTTCGTATTTCTGAAGATTTTGCTCATTGTGTTTCATGCCACAAAGACTCCTTGTCAGAACCTAATTTGCAGCCTTTTGGCTGGGAGCTCACAAATTACCACAAGGAACCCGTAAGGTCTGTTGCTGCAGTTAACTCCTTGAAGGACCCTTGGCTCGACTTTGGGTGGGTGAATGCAATTAATTCATAGGAGGTAAATAAAGGGTTGATTGATTAGAGTTGATGATAGAGTTCCTGTTCAGCAGAGAGAATGCCACCCACTTTCCAGGTTTGGGTTTTGTCGGGAAGATCATTTTGCAGGGCGGGAGGTCACTGATCCGTCTGCCTCTGGGGCTCTAAGGCTGCTTTTCCATTAGCAGAAAATCGAATCGGCCTCCGACTCGGAGAGCAAGGCAGAGTCCGAGGAGGAAGAGGAGGAGGACAATGACCGAGCGGGCAGCCGGCCGCTCACTCCCAAGTCCGATTCTGACTCCAACTCAGATGAATCCGTCAAGAAGCCCCCCCGTGGCAGGAAGCCAGGTCAGTAGCCCAGGTGGCTGCCAGAGCTGGACTGATCATGGGTAGTTTTTATCTTGGGCAATGGAGCATCTTCCTTCCTTCCTTCCTTCCTTCCTTCCTTCCTTCCTTCCTTCCTTCCTTCCTTCCTTCCTTCCTTCCTTCCTTCCTTTTTCTTGTATTTCCTTCCTTCCTTCCGTTCCTCCCTCCATTCTTCCTTCACTTTTTTCCTTCCTTCCTTTCTTCCCTCCCTCACTTAATTTTTTCCTTTCTTCATCCCTTCCTCCCTTTTTGCTTCCTTTCTTGTATTTCCTTCCTTCCTATTTCCTTCCCTTCTTCCTTCCTTTTTCTTCTCCATCCTTCCTTCTTGTATTTCCTTCCTCCCTTCATTCCTCCCTCCCTTCTTCCTTTACTTTTTTCCTTCCTTTCTTCCTTCCCTCCCTCCCTCCCTCACTTCCTTCCTTCCTTCCTTCATCCCTCCCTCCCTTTTTGCTTCCTTCCTTTTTCTTGTATTTCCTTCCTTTCTCTTTCCTTCGCTTCTTCCTTCCTTTTTCTTGTCCATCCTTCTTGTATTTCTTTCCTTCGTCCCTCCCTCCCTCTTCCTTTTTCTTGTATTTCCTTCCCTTCCTTTTTCTTGTCCATCCTCCCTCCCTCTTTCTTTCCTTCATCCCTCCCTCCCTTCTTTTTTCTCCTCCCTCCCCCCTTCCCCTCCTTCCTTTCCCCTCCCTTCATTTTCTTCCATCCTTCCTTCCTCCCTCCTTCGTCTGAAGTCTCTCCACACTAGCCTTTTACTTTGCCTAGGGGTGGAGGAAGGGGATGCCTGGATTCAGGAGGGCTGTACTTCAAGGTGCCTCTTTCCAAACTCACCATCTCCCTCCTCCCCAGCTGCCGAGAAGCCTCCCCCCAAACCCCGGGGCCGGAAACCTAAACTTGAGAGACTTCCCAGCAGCTCCAGCAGCGACAGGTAAGAGACAGAGACTTTGTGTCATTCCCCCCCCCCCCGGCTGGACTTTCCAGGGCCTCCATTAGGGCAGCACCTTCCACGGGGGAGGCACGAGAGCTGAGTGTCCATGCAAACAAACAGCTGAGACCCCCCCCCCCCAATGCCTTGGACTCTCCCTCCTGTCTTTCTCTTCTGCCCCCTTCCCCGCAGTGACAGCGACGTGGACCGCATCAGCGAGTGGAAACGGCGGGACGAGGAGCGCCGGCGAGAACTGGAGGAGAAGCGGAAGCGCGAGCAGGAGCAGGAGCTGCGCCGGTTGCGGGAACAGGAGCGGGAGGAGAAGGAGCGGAAGCGGGAGAAAGCCGAGAAGGGGGCGGAGGCCGAGGCTGCGGAGAGCGACAGCAGCGTGGACAGCGAAGCCCCCAGGAGGGGCAAGAAGGGGCAGCCCAAGGCAGCCCCCTCTTCCTCAGACTCAGAGGCGGAGAAAGAGGTGAGCTTGAAGGGGCTGGGAGGGGGACGGTCTCCAGGGCCCCGGTCTTAAGCAGAGCTTCAGTTCTGTAGCCGCTGCAGCACAGAAAGGATTTGCCGTTTGGTTGGTGCCGATGCCTGTATTTTGAGGGCCAGGAGACTCACAAAGTGGTGTGTAGACAGTGAGCTTTAGCGTCACATTAAGGAGGAAAATTCCTGGGTGAGTTTGGGCCAATCACTAGGAGCCTGGGAGTTCTAGTCCCGCCTTAGTAATGGAAACCATCTGGGTGAGTTTGGGCCAATCACTAGGAGCCTGAGAGTTCTAGTCCCGCCTTAGTAATGAATACTATCTGGATGAGTTTGGGCCAATCACTAGGAGCCTGAGAGTTCTAGTCCCGCCTTAGTAATGGAAACCATCTGGGTGACTTTGGGCCAATCACTAGGAGCCTGAGAGTTCTAGTCCCGCCTTAGGCAGGAGAGCCAGTGGGGTGACTTTGGGCCAATCACTAGGAGCCTGAGAGTTCTAGTCCCGCCTTAGGCAGGAGAGCCAGTGGGGTGACTTTGGGCCAATC